CTTAAATCCACTGACAACCCCACCCCTACTTCCTCTTCACCCCCCACTGCTCTATCCGAATCATAGTCAGACATGTCTACAGAGAAAGACAGTCTATGCAGCAACAATCGAGGTTGGGAAATAAAATAAGGTGTCCTACCTTGCAGACGATTCTGTTCTTTTCTTCCTTTGGTCCCGGTCGTTCTGAGTTCTGTCTGAATTTTCAGCAACGGCGGTCGATCGTGGTCTTCTCAGGGTTGAAATCCCTCGGTCACGGCACCACGTGTGACGGTTACACACCTGGCCCGGGGTCGAATCCTTTGGTTACGGGCGCCAACTGTGACGCCGCTCCTCCTGGTCGCTCCTCCTGGTTCCAAGCGTGCGCTCCAACCCCTTGGTTGGATGATCACCAGCCTCGCCTTTCCCGACTCGCCCAATACCTGGTCACTAAAGCAACTGTACTGATCTCCGGTCTGTCTACCCACGCTGTGTTTAGATCTTAGACAGACGGGACCAGCAGGGATTGGGGCGATACAAGTTGAGTCCGGCGGGGTGGCAAAACACAAATAAAAGAGAAAAAAAAAACTCACGAGACAAAAAGATTGCTGATAAAAAAAAAGGGTAACAACCTTTTTTATATCCAATGTCCGTTACATAAAAACAAAATTGTTCTCATTTCCCGACCGCTCTGTGGACTATGGCACCAAGCTTCTATCACACAACCTAAAGATTTCAATTGCCTACTCTTTAGAATTGTGTATGTCGGAGTGTGGTTTAGTTCGACACTGGGGCTAATTTCTATCGATCATTCGCAGTTGATTCTTCTCTTCGACTTGAGTTGTATTTCTTCTTCGTTAACTTAGATAGAACTTCTCTTGTCTTCGACTTGGGCTGGATCTTCTCTGCGGCTTTCGAGTAATCTTCTTCTTTGTCCACTTGGGCTGGAAGTTCTCTTGTCTTCGACTTGGGTGGAAGGATTTCTTGTTTCGACTTGGGTGGAAGGATTTCTTGCCCCAACTCAGCCGCTTCTCTCTGTCGTCCGTGGTGATCTCTTCTACGCTGCCGTCCGGGGCTGAACTCATGTCTTCGACTTGGGCTGGAAGGATTTCTTGTCTGAGGATTCTTTTGCCCGCAAAGGGGCGAGTGAATCGGGCCTGATGCCAGCGTTCAGGCTCTTTCCTGCCCTTGTGGTCCAGCTGCAACTCATTTCTGTCGACTGGGGTCCTGCTTTTATTGACGCCAAGAACAAACCGGGGTGGGTTTGTCGGCGTCAGGGGTTTCTCGACAATTCAATAGCCGCGTTATTTCTGTCTTCCCATTATCGCTATTGTTTTCACCCCCTACTTCCTCACAGTGCCTTTTGGTGGGGGCGCGACACCCATCTTTCCCGGTCCCTCGTATGTCAGGTGACCGCTCTCGATAATGATTCCTGATCGAAAGCATTTCTCCTCCTCTCTCCCGTATGCCACGTGACCGTTTCCGACCAATTGTTATTGATCGAGCATCCTTTCTCCTCTTTTTTCGCGTGGTTTACATCGTTCTTGTTTTAAAAAACAAAATCCAATTTTGCCCTTTTTTCAAAACGCATTTAAAAAATGACAATCTTGGCTTTTTTTCTCACCTGGGCTCTGTCAAAACAGCCTGCCGCTAATTAGATGTGACTTCAGGAAAGAATATTGGCGCCATCTGTGAGCTGAGACAATCGTTTTTTTCACCTCTTGTTTTTGTCAGACCCGACAGTCAGAAAATCTTAATTATCTACATTGAAAATGTCCCCACTTTATTATCGTGGGTTCCAATTCTTAATAGGTCAGAATCTGTATACAGTTCCACGGTCACTCCCCTCAACCCAAAAGACACTTTTTTCTCCGATTAAAAAAAAAATTTTGTTTCTATTGTTCTAAAAGAAATTCCCCTTTCTCCAATTTGACAATGAGTCTTTCCACGCAAAAAGTAGGCTAGGTGCTTTGACCGATATTCTTATCAATCGCCAATACACTGTCATCAAGCCTGGTTCTTTTTCTCCCTCTAAATGATTTTTCATTTCAAATAACAATTCTCTATTGTCTTTTAAAATTCGGCCAACACGCAGGCCAAGATATCTTTCTGACACCTATCTTCGCTTATGACCGGGTCATGCATCATCCATCTCTCTTTCCTTTTTTTTTTCCTTTCTTCCTCTTTTCTTTCCCCTTCCTTCTTCTTTCCTTAGGATCGTCTAAGTACAACTTTAGTGAATTATTTTCAACTCAATTATTTTCCGTTTAAAAAAAAATCAACAACCTGTTTAATAAACCGAGTAAAAAAAAATTAAATCATATTTCTATGAATATTTCTAATAATGCAAGGTGCCACAGGGGTTAAAATGCGGCAAAGTCTGTTGATAATTTTGAATTATATAGCTGCTGGGGGTTAAAAAAATTGATATCCGGACATGGAAATCTTTAGTAAAAGGCGAAAGATTTATCCTCAATTCCTGACCACCAGAAACCATGAGTTATTTTTTTTAAAAAAAGAAAAGAAAAAAAAAAAAATAGTAGTAATAAGGAAAATTAAACCAAGTTGACTCTGACATGTCTGGGTCAAAGGCTAGCCAGCCAGCAATAAATGTCATTGTCAACTTGTAAATCCCACCACTGACAAGATAAGAGCAAAGAGAGAAAAAAAAAAATAAAGATGAAATATTGGTAAAAAGGTCTTGATAGGTTATTTTTTATTTTTATTTTTTCAAACCTATGTTTGAACAATGGCTTGATGTATTTTGTTTTTTAACACCTCGTGACCTAGGTGATGACAACACTTAGCAGATGACATTGTTGCATGTCTTTTGTATTTTCTATCATCAGGTCATATAGTGTTTTGTTTTATTCAATGACATTCACATCAACTTAAAAAGAATGGATTGAAGTTTGAACAAAATTGTTTTAAAGTGAAAAAAGATATTTTTTCATAAAAAAGTGATTTTTCTCAGAAAATTGGCTGTAATTTTTTTAATGCTAACCCCTGAGTGACATTTTTCACAGCCAAATCGAAGATTAATTACCAGTGAATAATTCCGTGTGCAAACAATAGCCGTCTGGATCCTATAACATGGCCCGAAAACATCTAGAAGCTAACTGATTGATTGAAAACTTGTTGCACATTTTCCACGGTCAGTTTCTATTATTTCATCTTGATGTTGTCATTTTCGGACAGCCAAGTCATCAAGGATTCAGGAAAACAGTTTGGTACAGGTTTGCTTTGAGAACTTTACATTCTATGGGGGGTTCAAAATATTACTGATGAATGGGATTTTTTTGCCAAATATTTCGTTCATCAGCATCTTGGATTTTCCTACAGGACAAAATCAAGCCTTTTAAACAGCTGTGATACAGACAGAGATATATATATATATATATATATATATATATATATATATATATATATATATATACACACTAGTTTAAAAGTTGCCCTATGAGTGGCATTTAAGCTAGCTCCTGCAGATGGCGCATTCAGTACATATTAAATTTTATTAAACTTGAACAATACATTTCAAACTATTAACAGTTTTTTTTGTTTATCAAAACAATATAATTTGTCTATTCGGAACTTCTTCCAAAGCTGCACGATAACATTTCTGGTTTTCCCATTCTCAACTCTTGAACAACCAACATAGAGCTGTCCCTGAGAAAAGGCGGCTTCCATCAGATGAGGTCCAGTTACTTTCAGTGATTATCTTTAGGACATTGCATAGCTCACTGGAAACTGAAGTCTTTTGAACTCAAAAGGAAGATCTGGAGGAATTAAAGGGGATTCTTGGGATTAAAGCTCTTTCCTCTTTCCAGTAAGAATCACTGCTTCCATGGGATGAGGAAGCATCTTGACAATTAACCTTGTTACATTACAAAGCTATGGAGGATCCAAATTTCTCAATAGCATAATTGGCACATTTTCTTTTAGCTGTATTTGTATTTTTTTTTTTTTTTTTTTTTTTTTAATGTGAATAAAATCCACACTGACTTTTATTTTGAAAATAGTTTTTACAATGAACATATTGTGCAACCTGTATGCTCTAATACTATGCATAAGGACGTTTCTGTTAGCATGTTTGAAATAAAGAATTATCATTATTGTTTATCTTTCCATTCAAACTAGTATACTTACAATGATTTGGCTGTTGTACTCTCTGGCCTTCTTCAGGTCTCTGTTGTTCTTGATAAACTTCTTGGAATTTTGAATTGAACCATTTATTCAAGTGTCAGCTAAAACATGTCTGATTTCTTGGCTTTCAGTTACTATCGACACTCTCTGTAGTTTTGAATTCAGAGTAGCCTTTCTCCTAGAGATCCTAGTCTACCTTACTATTTAATCCATAGTTGAGAGAATAGATTGCTTCAGGCTTTTCTCCAAATACATTAGTGTGAAAGTGAATATAATAGACCAGTTCCTAAATTGAACTTGATTAGGGATGTGCAGCTAATAGCATAGAAAGTGGAATTGGCAAGCCAATTTCACATTCTGGCCTAGTCTGTTGCATTCATTTTTGAACTAATACCTTTGGGAAAGGCATGTATTCATCTCTTCTCCCACCTATGGGTTAAATAGTATAGCCTTGGATGGCAGCCAGTTTAGAAGGACTACTCTGAAGTGAGAAACATGGTGTGTGTCAATAACAGTTGAAGATGAGATTGAGAACAATAATTTGAACAAGTTAAAGTATAATGATTTGAAAATCACTTACGTGAAATATAATCAAATTATTCTTATTTAATCAAATTTTGTAATATTTATTATCTGTTTCTTGTGAAATGGGTAGCATTTTTTTTTTTTTTTTTTTTTTTTTTTTTTGTTACTTTGGCAACAATTATTTTTCCAACCCCCTTGGAGATCCACCTTTTAGGTTTTCTGTTTTTTCCTCTCTTTCTTTTTTGTTCCCTCCTTTTTATATCAATCAGCTGTACTTTTTATTATTTCTGTTATATAGTTTTATTGTTTATTTATGCTTGTAACTTGTTTGTTTTGTTTTCTTTATTTTATAGCCCCACTCTTGAAGAAAAAGCTCAAAAAGATATTGAAAAATATTTTGCTACACATGTTATTGTGCCTTCACCAGCTGAGGATTCTGTGAAATTTGGTAAGTTATTTTTATTTGGGCTTTGAATTGGTAGACTATCTTAATCAAAGTATTTTCATTCTTAATTTTGACTAATTTTTCTCATTTTGAGGCTAGCTTTTTATCTTGACAATTGGGTTGACATGTTCTATGACTATTAAAGTAAACAGAATTCACAGGATTCACATTGCTTGTTTCAATGGCTATAGAATATAGTGACCTTGTGATTTTTGATTTAAAAAAAAAAAAAAAAAACAATTATAAAGAAAGAGTCGTCAAAATTAATAATTCTTTAATTTTTTAATAGGTAAATCTAAGCTAAGTAGTAAGTGTTGATTTTTGAGAATAGAAAATTGGAATTAAATTTCTGCTTAGGATGTAAACAAAAGTTCAATTATTATAAAGATTTCTGTCTGAATTTCTGCAAAAAGATGTTATTATTTACATGCAGATTATCTTTGGTAACCTATGGAGAGTTCCAAACTGTCCCACAGAATAATAGTGTAGTGGATTAAAGTGTTGGTTTGTGAATTTAGTGACATAGTAATTAGGAGTTCAATCTTGGTGCAGGGTAGTGTGTATTCTGTGGCAATAGGGTGAGCAGTATTAAAAATAAGAACTAGACAAAATATCCCTAGACATAAGTAGTAGAATGAGAATATATCTACCTGCGTAAATAAAGGGTTTAGTTTGGAATTACCTCTTGGAAACCATAATGGCTGAAACATTGTGGTAATAACAACAAAGATGATGATAATAGTAAATAGTGTAAATACTATAAAGATTGAAAAAAATTAAATAAATGTAATCAATTTTATGCATTTAAAAACTTTGAAGTATTTTTTTAAAAAATTTTTTTTAGATAATAATGATTTAGTGATACAAGTTTTACTAACTACCCACATATCTGGAGGAGAAGAGATGGTTTCATACTCTTTCCCCAAGGGTATTTATGCATAATTGAATATAACGAACCCAACTAGAACTGTGCTCTCCAATTAACAATTCTGAGCCATTATCCATTACTTCAACTACATATCCAAGCTTATAGCACCTGATATTTTCAAGCAATCGCCCATCTAGTTATTAACTAAGCTTCAATGATCATATAGGAACCAGTGTTTCAATTTGATAAATTTTCACAACAATAAAAAAAAAAAAAAACATTATTTAAGCTTATAGTTTTAATTTAAATTTTTTTTTTGCTAATAGTAATTTGTCTTGGTATTCCATTTATGCTGAAACAAGAATCTTCGAAATAAACAGTTATTATTCTTACTTTTCTGTAAATGTTTATTGTAGCTAATAATTGTTAGTTTTCTTTATGGCTGTTTTTTAAATTGTGGTGGAAAAATGTTAATGACAAAACAATTTTCTTTTCCTTTTAATAAATAAATGATTTAAAATTTTTATTTAATAAAAATTGTTTTATTTAAAAATATATTCTTATGGCTATTTGAATTCTTAAGCTAATGAATTATTTTAAAAATATTTGATATTCGAATTTCTGATTTTCTTTGTATTTGAGAGAGAGATATTTCTAGCGATGGTTAAGCAGAACTTGACACTTGCAAAGTGTGCGTATTTGTATAGGAAGTGGTAAAAATGAATTCTCTCATTTTAGTAAAATCAATACCTTGACATTTCACATAGAAGTTATTCTACAGAGGTTTATTTAAGTAAACTTTTTAGATCAATAAAATGAACATCAAAAACAATTTCTATCCTAAATAATCAATTTCATGCAAAAATTCTCTTTCAGAAAAAAAGGAAAATTCTTTAGAAAGTGCAGAATCCAAGAAATTTGTTGAAGGTGAGCAATTTGTCTGTTTTTGCTTATATGTATTTAATTACAGTTGAAGAGTCTCTGCATGATTTTTTTTTTTTTTTTTTTTTTCTTTCAATCATAATTTTGACTAAACTTTGTAAGAAAATGATTTTTGTGTACAGTTTAATACAAATCCTCAATGAAAAACAAAAATCAGTGTAAGTTTTTCCATTAATCTAACATCAATTTTGAGTTTTTCTGTAGTTTGTTGTCTATCATATATGGCAGCAGTATACCTTACAAAAAGAAATCTACGCCAACAGAGGACCAGATTGCAATCAAGAGCTAAGACTCCAGCGAGGAAAAGGTCCTGTGCAAATAAAAATCCAGATCAAACAGCAGCCAGGAGCTTCCAATGCTGAGAATATGCAAAGATTTAGGGACTCTCAAGCTCATGAACAAGCCAAAGGCTCAATCAAGAGCCCTCTGCAGAAGCTAGCTTAAATGCCACCAATAGGATGGGTTTTAAGTGTGTGTGTGTGTATTATATATATATATATATATATATGCACACGACTCAGATTCTAAAGGTAAATGTTAGTCAGACAAAATATTAACCTAATGCTTATATTTTCATTAATGCATTACAGTCACGTTTTTGGAATGCTAGGGAGGCTATAATTAATAACAGGAGTAGAGGTTTATCCCTTGTCTCCTGTTTAAGATGGGCTTCCAGTTCCTTCTAAAGTCTTCTCATTTTATTTTACTCCCCTTGAGTCTTAGTAGCATTATCACCTTACTTGGGGTGAATTGATTAAAAAATCTTTTAGCTTTTTATATAATTTTGTTTTTTGTAATCTATACTGGATTTTTTATTTTAATTTTCATAATTAATACTCGAGTTATGGTGGACATCAATGAGTTATTTTTTCCCCTCATTGTTCAGTTATTTTCACCTTGTTATGATATAATTGTTTCTTGTTTCTTCTTGCTATGTGTCATTTTTTTTTTGTTTTTACTTTTAAAACAAAATCACACATAAAATTTATTTGTTCAAATTTTGAACAAACAATTTTTTTTTTTATTTTATTCCAAAGATTGCAAAGTATGTGAAGAATATTGAGTAAGGGAGCAAATACAACTTACTAGTTCTTCAACTCTTCCAAATAGCAATATGAGTTTGCCATTTCAATTCCTTGATCAACTCTGAACAAGATTTTACTTTTTTTTTTTATTTAACAATTTAATTGTATTTTGAAAAACATTTTCCAGAAATTTAGCATTCAGAAAACATGACTAAATATGTACCTTGTTATATGGATTGTAATACAAATTTTAATTCTTTTGTAATATTCTTGTTTTTAACACTCAAAACCAAGTGATTAGAAAGAATATGTCTTGTGACAAACATTGCTTGGCTGGAATTGCTCTAAATGCAGCTCTTAAGAACCAAATGTTACCTCTGTTACAGAAAATAAGGTTAGATTTGAGTTACACATGTGAAAAGAGATCATCCTTATATTTATTCATTATGTAATTTTTTTTTTTTTTTTTTTTTTTAAATGTCATTTGAAATAAAAAAAAAAAAAAATTATGGGATTAATGTTTCTTATTTTAGAAGCTTTTTAAAATGGCTTTTAAGAAAATGCTGTTTGCTGTAAAGGTGTGCATTTTGTTATAAAACTGTGAAATTGTAGGGACTATCTGGATTGACCTTAAAAAAAGATTCTTTTAAAGCTTGTGTCAAATTTTCTATTTATTTTCAGTTGGATGCCAGACAACGTTAAGCCTCCCTCAGAATGTAAATTTATATGACATCTTAGGTAAAGTATTACCTTCCAATAAATTTACATGTAAAGAATAAACGTTTTCCTGCTTATTTTGCTTCAATAACATTTTCTTTATAAAAAATTGCTAAAGCTAAACATCCTTCTGTAAACATTTTAAAAATAATTTCCTACTGTTTAATGTTATTTAGTGAAATTGATTGCCAAATTATTAGTCACTATATGATTTTATATCAATGAAAATTTCAACAAAATTGCAAGTGCTTGAAAGAATAATGTGGGTGGAAATTTTGGAAAGCATTGTTATATATATTGTTGTAGCATACTTACGGACATAATGGGTATGTCCCCATTCACAGAAATACAGTAGTAAATACTGTATGTTGATCTGCAGTTGAAGATTCATTGTGGAATTCACTTGACTCATTTCTAGCAGTTGACTACTTCTATGTGCCACTGGTGAATCTTATATGCGTTGTTCGTGTTCTACATATCATTCATTACCAACCTTTGTGAGATTATTCTATTCAGTAACCTTCCCTAGGTTACAACATATATAAATCTTGTGGACTACCCAGTGGAGTATACGGCCACAAACTCACCACACTAGGCATTCATGCTATGGTTTCTATAGCAAGTATGTTTTATGGGGTGAAATTGCTGCCTCCATGCACATGTTGTCTTCATACAAATTATGCAGTAATTAATTTCCACTATGTGGATATTCTGACATTCTTAAAGAAAAATTGATATTCTCAAAGTCATTGAAAGGATAGATTTACATGGGACCAGTATCTTCAGAAATGGTTTGTAAGTTGTGGGTAAAGCTACTTCTGATGGAAAATTCCAATCACTGTGATGACAGAAGATTTTATTGAGCAATTGATGCAAATGAAGCAGACTTAAAACTGAAAAAAAAAAAAAAATTGAGCAAAGTATCTGAAAATGTTATTTGATGATATAAATGTTAAATTTCTTTCTGAAAATCTTTTTTTTTTTTTTTTTTATTCATTTTTGACTATTTAGGTATTCAGTTATCCAGAATTTTGAATTATCTGAATGTTTATTCAAACCCCTATCCCAAGGTGTCTAGATAATCTATAACCATACAATGTGACCCTTGCCCAAGCTTTCCACTGATCAGACAATGATTCTCGCATTGCATTTAGATCCTCAATCTCATTGGTGTGTGCTGAAAGCTGGAAAAGGGCCTGCTGCATGCTCACAAGGTAACAAGATGAAAGACAGACACCAATGTAAAGAAATAAGAATGCAAACACTATTTCCCATGTTATATGTAGATGTTTTATTCAGGTCTGCTTAGGTAGGTAGGTAACACTGGACAACTTTTATATGGCTCTTATAGATCAGCTCTTCCCCCTATCAACTCCTCACCCATCAGCTACATCCTGACATGTAGCTGGCAATACTAACGGGTGGCAATGTAACCATGTGATGGACAAGCTTTGTCTCCCACCAAGGGCAGACTAGAACCCAGATACACCCTATTTCTGCTTTTGTTGTCACTTGATATCCAAAAACCCTTCATCCTCTCCTTTACTTCCCTGTTCTTCTTCAGTTAAAATGGATACTTCTTAGAAAGCTAAACTTCAAAACTTGCTGGTTATCAAACAGAAACACTCAAGATAAAACTACCCCCGACTTTTTTTTTTATAAATGGGTGTTCATAGTAGGACAATCAAGGAAGTACTATATTGTAATTATTGAGAACTTAGAAGTGAACACATTTGGCAATTAATGTTGAACCATAATCAGCACAATTTTCCAGTTTGATTAGTCAGTTTACCATTGACTTTCTACCCACAATTTTTGCTTGTGACTCCCAATTTTTTGTATTGCCCACCTATGTAAAGAGAATCAGTTTACAATTTTAATTTCTATTTTATTGCAACAGCTTATGTCTCCTTTTTTTACAGGTGAATATATGACTTACAAAGAAAAAAAGCAAGATGGTGATTTTTATACCATGGATTCTTTTAGTACATCTAGTCTTCGTCGAAAGTTGTTTTGTCAAGGATCCCAAGAGGACAGCTTTTCAAGCAACAAAGGAAGGTCTGAATTGTTTATATTATTCTGTCTTCATTGATGTGCATTTTGGAAACTTAGGAAATAGATTTAAAAAAAATATTATTGTAATGAGTACTAAGTTTTGAATTTCACTACTTGTGACTATTGGGGGGGTCATGTTTTTTTTACTTGTGACTATTGGGAGGGGTCATGTTTTTTACTTGTAACTATAGGGGGTCATGTTTTTTTTAAAAAAAAGTGTGCAACTAAGAAGAAAGTCAATTTGAAAATTTAGTAGTAGTGAACTTTTAAATGAAAAGTTCAGTTTGTGCTTTTATGAATCTAAACACTTCTTTCTCACAGGCATAAATTTCTTCAGTCAGGATCAAGTTGAAGACTGTCATTGAATTTATACAAATTAGTTTTTTTTTGTTTTTTTTTTTTTTTTTTAAACTCAAAGAAATTTTTGATTTTATCTTAAGTTTATAGCAAATGAGATTTTTAATTTTTTTTAAATATTTCCAAATTTGAATGTGAGGTGGAGATTGGAACTGTTTGACATTGCTGTTGAATCTCTTTGACTTTGAAAGTTGACCTGTAATCACCTTTTTCTTATTAGTGCAAAGTCTGAGGATGAATCTAACAGTGAAGATGAATTGCCAGCTCCCATTCCAAGCACTCCAGACTGGGACAGACACTTCTCAAAGGTTAGTCATTATCACACACAACTACAGTGAGTTTTTCTCTTTTTAACCTTACACTTGTCCATCTTTTTCTTGTATTCTGTTATTAAATAGTGAGGAATTATTTTATGCATAGCAAATCAATCATTTTAATTGGGTAAGGAAGAACATTTTTACAAATGAGAATGTGAAACCTAAAAGGGAAGATTATGTTTTTATCTCTATCTATAAAAGGCTGTGTGTGTGTGTGTATGTAGCGAATGCACGGCTGCAATTTTTGACAGATTTGCACCAAAATTTACATGCACATGCTCCAAGTTAGCGGGAAGGCCAAGACTGACTTTGCATTTCCCAACTCCCATCGATAGTGTAAATAATTTTTTTTTTTTTTTTTTTTTTTTTTTCCCATGTTTCTACGGCAGTTTTCATGTAGTTTGCAGCCATTTTGTACTGGCCAGAGATTCTATTGGGCAGCGTGAGAGCCAACAGCTGACTGACACAAATATTAACTAGCATGCAAAAAAAAATCAATAGCTGCATTCGTCACAAGTGGGGAAAAATTTAAATCTGCATGGCACTTTACTCCAATTGGCTCATTCGCTTGCTTAAACTCAATGTTGATTCTGATTCCACAGAACTGGATTGGGTGTGAAAAAGTATTTGTTTTTAACATTCTTTTTTCATTCGGTTTTTCCAGTTACGAGTCCTTTTTTAAAGCTGATCGTTTTGTGTTCATTTTGTTTAGTTCTTTTTTTGTAACAGATTTAATGTTTAGTATAGAGCTTAGAAAAAATTTGCAGTGTGATATAGGCAAGAAGTAAGGCATGTAGCAACATCAGCACAGCAAAGGGCACTCCTTTAAAGGCAAGGAAGGGCAAAAATCTTTTAAGTCAAGTGATAGCGATTCGTGTATGAGTTGTACGATTTTTGAATCAAGGACGGGCAACGCCGGGCCATGCTGCTAGTAATACTCTATACTTCATTCATCAGGGTAGAATATGTTAATATTCTTTCAGTATTATAGCAAAATAAACAAAAGTAAAAAATAAACTAGTCCTGGGTATGATGATAAACTACATTTAGCAGCAAGACCTCTGATCAGGAAATTGGAGGTTTTGAGGAGTGTGAAACCACCTCTTAATTACTGTTGTTCTTAGGTCCACCCTGACCCAGAGTGGTAGCACCTGTTAGGGTTCTTGCTATGGGCAACTAGTGAATCCCCAAACAAAACACTATGAAAAATATAAAAATGCATTTATATATATATATATATATATATATATATAAAAACCAAAAATACATATTTGTAGTAAAACTAGCTGACTGCTGCCTCCTCCATTGTCTGGTCCAAGTAGGAATCATCCTACAGTAGTCCATGTTTGGTGCAGGCTTCTCTGTAAGTTCATTATATTTTTGCAGGTCTGAATGATGTAGAGGCTTCTGACAGTGTTCAGCAGCAGACACAGAAAGAAGCACTCCTGCTGATTGGGTTGCACAGTGTACACCCACCCGATGGTCCTGCTTCTGAAGACAGCATTTTCTTCCCAGCCCTTAATTTGTGCTCCTTTCTTGCACTTGTCCATCTATTTTGTGTCCAGGTGTATTAAACAGGAAATTCAATATACAGCAGTGTTCGGGCAAACTGGTAACTTTGGCAAAATTTGAAGAAAGCTGTCAATGTGGGTTCTGGTGTATTCTCAACTACGTTTTGAGCAGTATCTTCTCTGAAATATACACGGTAACCATTTTCAAGATGAACAGCTATCAGGTCATCCCATAAGTTCTGTCCGAATTTTGAATAAAGAAAACAAGTGACCAAATGTTACATTTAATTACAGATTCAATCAACAATGTATTTTCCCTGATTATCTATGACTTCCTTCCATCTATTAACAAGCTTACTAATTCAATTACTATAAAATTCTTTTGGCTTTGATTCGAAGAACTCACAAATGTAAGTTTTAATTTCTTCCTGTGTTACAAAAGCTGTTTCTTCCAAATGATTCTGTAAGCTACGAAACAAATGGTAGTCTGAAGGAGCAAGATCGGGAGAATAAGGTGGATGAGGAATTTTCTCCCAATCTTCTTCGATCTTTTGTGACGTGATTCTTGCTGTGTGGGGTCGCGGATTGTTCTGATGAAACATCACCTCTTTTTGATTCACTAGAGCAGGTCTTTTTTTCTCAAAGCTTGGTTCAAATGCTCTAATTGCTGACAGTATATTTGAGCATTAATTGTTGCATTAGGTGGTAAGAATTCAAAGTGGATTATTCCTTGGCGATCCCACCAGATTGAAAGAAGAACCTTTTGCCCATGAAGTTCCCTTCTCGGCTGTGGCTGGGGTCATTCCCTTTACCAAGCCACTGTCTCTGACGCTTAACATTTTGAAAAAAGATCCATTTTTCGTCGCCAGTCACAAGTCTATCCAAAAAAAGGTGAAACAAGTTGGCTAGAAGAGCAGATGTCAACTTCGATTTGAGGTTGTTTTCAGACAATTCATGAGGCACCCATTTTCCAAGTTTAGGAACTTTTCCAAGTTGTTGAAGATGACTATGAACAGTTGTATGGTTTGAACTGAGGACCACTGCCAATTCCTCAACTGATAAAGCAGGATTTTCTTCAAGGGCTGCTTCAAGAAGCTTTTCATCAAACTCAACTGAACGTCCAGTTCGATCTTCATCTTCAAGGGTGAAATCTCCACCTCTGAATTTTGCAAACCATCTTCTGCAAGTTCTTTCATTAACACATTCCTCTCCATAAACTGAGTGAATGTTTCTAGCTGCTTTGGCTGCTGAGTTTCCTTTCTTGAACTCATAAAGCATTATGTGCCTCAAATGATTCTTGGGTACTTCCATGTTAGCAGTGTTTTAATCAAACAAAATTTAATTTTATTGTTCTCTGAAATAAAATTTGATCAGTTTAAATGCATCTAAACATAAAAATAATGTTCAGCTCCATTAGACTATAATAAAATACTCTTTAAATTTCATTCATTTTAACAAAAAGTTAAAATTCAGACTGAACTTATTGGATGACCTGATAGATTCACCACTGTTGGATGCCACTTGTGGATTTTGAAGCCCAGGATGCACCACATTGCTTTGTCAGGGGAAATATATCTACCCAACTAACTGACAGATTATATATTCTTTATTGGTAGGACTACACATGCGTAGAGCAGAGGGGGTGCTGGGAATTTTAGAATTTTTTTTTTTTTTTTAGCCGAATTGATTTAGTCTTTTTTTTTTTTTCTTTTTCTTTCCATCACTTTTGTAAGTAGGTATTATACACTGTTCATTCCTGACAGATCTAATATCACAGTGTTAAATACCTACTTAAAAAAAGTGATGGAAACCAAAAGAAAAAGGCTCTCAATGAATTTAGCTGATTTAAAAAAAAAAAAAAAAATATATATATATATATATATATATAATGATTTTTGGGGGAATGGAGTGAAAGGTTTAAAAAACATTTCAGTTTTGCTTTTGGTTACAATTCAAATTCATATCATCTGATTAAACCACCGTAATTAAAAGTAAAACTTAATGAAGAAGGGTACGTGTCACATGCTGATTAAGGATCTTTGGATTTTTAAGAAGTCTATTTCCACAGCTAGATTTTTTACACAGAGGGTGTATAGCACCAAAGTGTCTTTCAAATGGGTTGTTATTCCACAGATAACAACAACCACAACCATCCTATGCTTTTTTAAGGGTAGGTTGAAATAGAAACTTTACCTAAGCTATTTGCAAATACGCTCAATTTAAATTTTATTTTATGATTAGATAACTGAATGCATCAAGCCAATTTCTTTGTATTTAATAAATTTGAACCTGGTGAATTTAATGATGAACATGGTGAAATTTGAAACAAGTTAATTTTTTTTTGCAATGTAAACACTTTTTATAAGAGTTATGATTTTGTAACACATGTATCTTTATTTCTAAATTGTTTGCGAGACCAATTATCTCCCTTACTTAAACAGTGATAAACAGTGTTTCGTGTAGACCTGGCAGTGAGCTGCGATCCGGGACTCTAACAGTAACATTATAGATTTCTATAAAAAAAGCAATTAGCCTAGTAATAAACCGGATGTTAATTTAACATGTCTACAAAGTTTAATCAATATTGCTTCATGGGTTTAGGCAGCAACTTGATTCAGACAAACAGAAATTGCCATTTATTTATATATATATATATATATATATATTACCAGCAATACATTTTATCTGTAGTTGAAGGCACAAAATTGTGTACAAAATATTTACATTTTGGCATTAAATAACTCCTAGAGGTTGATGTGTTGTGAAACAAAATCAAAGAAAAACATAAACAATAAAAATAAAACCATAGGGATACACAATGAGTTCATCAATATACCACTTGGTTGAGAGACTTGAATGTGTTTTTAAGCCATCCCAGATCATAAGAAAGCATAGAACAAGTAAATTATTTTTTAAGATGTCATATGTTGTTTAACATTTGCACTTAAATCAGCAGATACCAGGCATTTTCCCTTTTTTCTAACTCTAATAGATATTTCCAAGATTAGAATTGTATTTATTGGTTTTATTCTATTTTTAATCCTTCATTCTCTAATATGCACTGAAAAGTTCAAACTTACAGTCAAATAACATGCTTGTAAATTTGAACAGAATCTTTTGTTTCTTCAGCTTACATAAGGACACCATTTGAATCAATTACAACTAGATTTGCTGATCCCAATTCCTGATACTCCATCTTATTGCATGTATAACAAAACAATAAAACTGCAGTAATCTCTTCATAAAAAGCCTGTATTCTCAATATACTACACTCGTCTTGGGTATGACAATAAACTACATCTGGCAGCAAGGCCTCTGATTAGGAGGGGGGGGGAAATTGGGGTTTTGAGAAGCATGGAACCACCTTTTAATTGCTATTGTTCCCTGGTCCACCCTGACCCAGGTTAGTAGCATGTGTTAGGGTTCCAGCTATGAGCAAATAGACCCCTCCCCCAACAAAATGCATTTTTATAGTAAAATATATTACGAATACAATTTTATAAAAAAATTGTCAATAGGTTTTTATAGCAAAATTACCAACAATACATTTTGTAGTAAAATGACAATCAATACATAATAATTTGCTATGATTAATCTCATTTCTTGGAAAAATAAACAAGTTTTCACTACTCATTTGATTTTCTAAGATTATTTTATTTAAAAAAATATGCTTAAGTGATTATAATTTATATAATTTAATCATGTCTTTCTCTTGAATTAATTATAAAGTTTGATTTTTCATATTTAGATTTCAGCCGATATGCATTATTATTATTATTAAATAACTCATACTGGCCGAATATTGAATAACCCATACTATATGAGTTATTTATTAATAACCCATACCGGTTGATATGTGGCTAAACAAAAACAACCAAACCAACATGAGAAAACTATTTGTAAATACTGAAACCGTCAACATAATGTCTTACCATATGTAGGTTTAAAAATAAATATCTGCACTTGAGTACGTTGATCCAGAATAGTTTTTCATTTTTAATGTAAATTACAGTTTATTTTTAATGAAATTACTATTTGTTTATGTTGAATATAAATTTCTTTTCATTTTGTTTTAATGAGAACAAGTAATCCCTTTTTAATTAAATAATTTTTTTTTAATTTAAAAAAAAAAAAAAGAATATAAATATAATAAATACATATATAAATATAATTTTTTAATTTTCTTTTACATACATATATAAATCCCACTTATTTAATTGCCAAATATAATTTTAAAATTAAAAAAAAAAAAAACTTTAAAAATATATATATATATATATATATATATATATATATATATATATATATATTAATTAATTGATTTAAAATGTTTTTTTTTTCCTTTACACAGTTCTAACCATGTTTCAAAAATGGAAGCTAAAAAGCCACAAATTTAATTTTGCAATTAAATTAAAGACATTAGTTCCATTTCATCCTCAAGTGAATTTTGGAGTAACTTTTAAAATTACTGGGTTTTAAAGACACAGCTAAAATCATGTTTCTATGGTTACAGATAAATCTACTTCGACAAGGGGTGTCTGGGTTTTCCTTATTTTAGCTGTGTCTTTAAAACCCAGTAATTTTAAAAGTTACTCCAAAATTCGCTTGAGGATGAAATGGAACTAATGTCTTTAATTTAATTGCAAAATTAAATTCGTGGCTTTTAGCTTCCATTTTTGAAACATGGTTAGAACTGTGTAGCAGAAAAAACCATATTTTAATCAATTAATTTATAATATTAATGCTCTGTAAATTTACATCAAGCACTATTTTGTAAAAATAAAAATACCTATAAGAACACTGGATTATATATCTTACTGTTCTTTCTTTTTATTATATATATATATATATATATATATATATATATATATATATATACACACACACACACGTTTATGCTGAAAGTATGAAATATATGTAGTTGAATGCGTTGTGGGGAAAATTAAATAAAACCAATAAACAAAAGAATAAGAAAAAAAATTAATTAATTTTCCCATGATGCATCTTATAAAGAAAGCCGAAAGGGTTTCTAGTCACATGTACAATTTTATGACCTCCACTTGCAAAAAGGACACTCTTTCTCTTTTTAATGATATCGTTCAGATATGTTTTAGCACCCCTACACATGAAGAAGTGATTTAGTCATCCCATCCATTCTTATCTTTACTTCCCATAAATTATTTCTGAAAAAAACAGAAATACTCAAGAGACCTTTTAACTTTATTTCAATACAGTCAACATAAAAAGAATGAACGTCCATAGCAGAAACTCCAAGCTTTTGTATGCTTCTTCTATCTTCCTTGTTTACATATTGAACATACACCTTCACTTAAAACATACACACAACCTTGTTAAAATCTACAGCATAATATTGTGTACAAAATATTTAAATTTTAGCATTAAATAACCCATAGCAGTTGATATACCACTAAACAAAGACTACCAACCAAATCAATATGCTGCACAATAAATGAATTAAGAAATTAGCAGGTCAATCAGTTCAAAAATTAATTCAAGATACACACAAGAGGAACATTTCATCATTCTCAATATGTCACCTGTGATTATCCTAGGATAACGGTGTCAACTAGATAGCACTTTGGTGCTTTGGTATGGGATAAGAGTTAGCAATCCAGTCTGGTTTACCATTACTGTCGAGTTGTGAGTTTATCCTCACTGGGTTTCTAATACTTTTGTCCTTGTGCCAAACTAGGCTAAGCTAGAAAAAAAAGAAAAAAAACAAAACAAATGAGGTTGTCCTTGTTCCTCTTGTGTGTATTTTGAATTAATTTGTTTTTTTTAAACTGATTGACCTGCTAATTTCTAAATGATAAATATTTTTACTACTAAACTTATTTTTATTTAACTTTTTCCTACACCTAGTTCTGCAGGTTAAAATTGAATTTAGGGAAAAAAAACAAACAAGCTAAAACACAAGAACAACATCTAAAGTGGATAAGGGTGAAAAATCTTAACTGGAAACCAACTCACCATTTTATAATTATTTTGTATCTACTTATCTTTAAATCTGGATATTAACTAAATGTTGTTTTTTTTTTTTTTTTTTTTTCTTCACAGGATCCTTTATCATCGAGTCCTGTTAATCGTCGTAGTCGTCGTTACATGACTGATCTTTCCTGTGACTCATTTGGTTGTGCACATTCCTCTCCTAATTTCTCACCTATTGGCCCACCATCATCTCCACTTTCCTCTCGATCCCAGCATCAGGGAAGGAAAGGTTCACACATCCATTTGGAAGATTCTCGGAAACAGCTGTTTTCTAGTCCTTGCTCATCACCTGTTCAAATTGTTGATGACTTACCTGAAAGAAACTCCAACTTGATAGGTAGGATCTCTGCTACATATTTTTTACTGCATATTTTTTCTCCCCCTTCCCAGTATGTTTGATGAGCAGTGGTCATAGTATAAATGATAAAACTACTAGTTATATTTGGATTATCCCATTAATCTACTTTTTGTGAATAAACAGCTACTTGGTGTGGGATTTTTGGATGCGGATCTGATGTTTCTATAGAATATTTAACAACAACAAGATGGATAATATAAAGCATAGTTTTATCACTGATAGTATTGGACATTTATTAAACCACACCTTTATCTTGTCATAATTACTGCAATCCAAGCTTCTCTCATGAGAGGCTTTACAAGATCTTAATATTCTGGAAGATGCAATAATTCATTTATCCTCAGAGTTAAAAAAAAAAAACAAAAAAAAAAACTCTGTTTTTGTCATTAAATAGGCAAAAACATTACCTATATCTGTAGATATTATCCAATACAAAAAAAGATTTTTTCCCCCCCAAAATTAATGTCGATTTTTAACAGAAATGTCCCTCATTTTTAGCCATAAGGAAGGGAAATGAAAACAGATCTGTTACATTCAGGGGGAAAAAAAACCCTGTTTTATATAAGATTGTTTGAGTCTGTTGCCCCATTTATGTAACATAGCTCCTACGTCCTCTTTATCAATCATTTGTTTGAGAATTTCACAAATTAATTTGTATTTAATTAATAATATTTACATTTATATTTATTCTAACCATTTGCTTAAATGCTATTTTTTTTTTCTTTCAGATGAATGCAAGATGGATATATCATTAAAAACACCACTATCTTCCCCCAACCAAAAACTGTCAGATTCCCCTGGATTAATATTGAATTCCAGTTTTTTCAAGATGTCACCTTTATTCTCTTCAGTCAAGAAAGAACTGGAGCTCATGAACCCAAAGGCCAAGTGGAGTTTCGATTCTGGGCATGATGTTTCTTTGATTTCTCCTGAGGAAAATCCTCAAAGCCATTCTGCTGGTTCCAGTGTGTATAGTATTTGTGAGAAAACCGAGACCTCTCTTTGTGCTGGCGATGCTGAAAGTGAACAGTTGTGTTGCATGGATAAAACTAGGGCTAATGATACCAAAAGCAACCACAATGACACAGAGGACAAAAACAATGACAATGCATTTAGTGATCTGCAAAATATTACCTCCTCACTCTCTGCCAATTTCAGCATCATTCCCTCAAAACTGGAAGTGACCAATGTTGACAACTCTCGGTATGTGTCGACATTGCAGCATGACACGGGTTATATGTCATATAACACAACGGGTTCGATGCCCTCACGAACAGAAATCTCCCAGTGTTCCAAATCGGCACTTTCAATCTATAACACGTCATCCCAAGAAGTGCAAGAATCCATAATGGACACGGCCAGGTTGCTCTCGGAGAAAGCTTTAGTGGGAGTACCACAATCTAAAACTTTGGGGGGTTTGAAAACCTCAACTATTACCTCGTATGCAGATTCTTTACTTGACTACGATGAAGTTGTCGGTCGGGCACAGCAAGTACTTACCCTGACATCCAAGTTTTGCACTGGGCAGTCGGAAAAGTATCATCAGGTTGCAGAAACTGATCAAAATAAAAGCAGTGATCAGACGGATATGTTACAGTGGCAACCGATTGGTGCTTCAACACCAACTCATAAAGGACGTCATAAATCAGCAAGTAAGTATTGGATTATTTGAAACTAGTAGTACTTGTGAATATTTAACAGTTTTCCTAATTTCATTTCTTTTTTTTGATGAGTCTTAATTCTTAAGTTAATGCTTGAATAAGCTCCTTGTGAGTTCATGACCTCACCTCAGAGGTAGTAATCTTGTAGAGTGCAAACTTCATCTATTGTAAGGACCATGTTTATGTCATCTTATATTGTTTTACATTGTTGCATTTAATAAAAATGTTAAATGTATTTTGGCACCCATTTTATTTCCCTTTAGTACCTCATATTTATTCTTTGGGAGCCATTACAAAATAACAACACAACAAACTCATGATGAAAATCTGTAATCAGAACTTTAATTTAAACAAAATATTTTTTTTCTTCCTTACTTAATGTGTATGCTATCAGATTCATTGATTGTTTAATTCCTGTACCAAGAATTGAACCCTTACCCACCACAAAACTGAGTAAAGATTTTTATTATTTTATTTTTTATTCATTTATTTATTTTTTTTCATTTTAATTTATTTATGATCACTGCTATAGATCTTTTATTTTGACTGATGTGAGTTGAAATTTATTGGGAAAATTATTTAACAACTAGAAAGACCCATGAAAATTTCACTGTTTTCCTATTTGAATTTTCTGATGACACTTAATAATTAAGTTAATTGCTTGAATAAACTCTTTGCGAGTTCTATGACTATAAAATACAAGTTGGGGGGGGGGACTGTCCTATTACATCGTTAAATATTTGATCTTAATAACTTGAACCAAATATTACAATGATAATCATAAATATGACTGCAGGTCATTATTTAAAGAAGTGTTGCAGAATGTAATGGCCAGAGTGTCTCATGGGCGTGGTATTCTGACAGTGATGAATTGCCTTTGTCTGGGTTTTGGATATAAGTCCAAAAAAGCATGAATTCAAGATGTTCGCAAGAATTTTGAAGCATTGATACACTTGGTGCACCCAGGTTTGAGAGACCACACACACAGGGATGCTGAGCCCACATGCGACATGTGTTACCATGGCTACCTCTTCGAATCCAAACTGCCACCACTCTCTTCTAATAAAAATGATTAAGCAAAAGAAATCGTCCTTTTTCATTAATACCATAGTATTGTGGGGACCCAGAGATGACACAAAGTGCAACAGAAGTAAGAGGCTACAAATGAAAAAGATTTAAAATTGTCAAGATTTTCTGTTGCATTGATGCAGACATTAAGCACATTTAATACCTCACCTATCTTCTCTTTCTTTTGCTTACTGAAACCAGACATGTTTTTAAAATTTTTTTTTAATTAATTAATCAGCCATCAATGTCTTTATATTCATTTATTTCCAGTGAATGGCAATTTCCTATTTTTCCCAAAATGGGCCAGTTCAGCCTGGCAACAATACTTTAATAATACAGAGGAGGAAGTTTTAAAAATGGATTTGAATTTGTAAATATTTATCTAGAAATGCAGAATATTTATCTAGAAAAAGAAAAATATTTCTAGAAAATGCATAGAGAAAAATTTTATCTAAAATGCATAGAGAAAAATTTTATCTAGAAATGCATAGAGAAAAATATTTATCTAGAAATGCATAGAGAAAATATTTATCTAGAAATGCATAGAGAAAAATATTTATCTAGAAATGCATAGAAAATAGAAAAAAATATTTATCTAGAAAATGATAGAGAAAAATATTTATCTAGAAATGCATAGAGAAAAATATTTATCTAGAAATGCATAGAGAAAAATATTTATCTAGAAATGCATAGAGAAAAATATTTATCTAGAAATGCATAGAGAAAAATATTTATCTAGAAATGCATAGAGAAAAATATTTATTTATAGAGAAAAATATTTATCTAGAAATGCATAGAGAAAATATTTATCTAGAAAATAGAAAAAATATTTATCTAGAAAATAGAGAAAAAATATTTTATCTAGAAATGCATAGAGAAAAATATTTATCTAGAAATGCATAGAGAAAAATATTTATCTAGAAATGCATAGAGAAAAATATTTATCTAGAAATGCATAGAGAAAAATATTTATCTAGAAATGCATAGAGAAAAATATTTATCTAGAAAAAATATTTATCTAGAAATGCATAGAGAAAAATATTTATCTAGAAATGCATAGAAAAATATTTATCTAGAAATGCATAGAGAAAAATATTTATCTAGAAATGCATAGAGAAAAATATTTATCTAGAAATGCATAGAGAAAAATATTTATCTAGAAATGCATAGAGAAAAATATTTATCTAGAAATGCATAGAGAAAAATATTTATCTAGAAATGCATAGAGAAAAATATTTATCTAGAAATGCATAGAAAAAAATTTATCTAGAAATGCATAGAAAAAAAATTTATCTAGAAATGCATAGAGAAAATATTTATCTAGAAATGCATAGAGAAAATATTTATCTAGAAATGCATAGAGAAAAATATTTATCTAGAAATGCATAGAGAAAATATTTATCTAAATGCAAAGAAAATATTTATCTAAAATGCATAGAAAAAATATTTATCTAGAAATGCATAGAGAAAAATATTTATCTAGAATGCAAAAAAAATATTTATCTAGAAATGCATAGAAAAAAATTTTATCTAGAAATGCATAGAGAAAAAATTTTATCTAGAAATGCAAGAAAAAATATTTATAGAAAAATATTTATCTAGAAATGGCATAGAGAAAAATATTTATCTAGAAATGCATAGAAAAAATATTTCTAGAAATGCATAGAAAAATATTTAAAAATTTATTTATCTAGAAATGCATAGAGAAAATATTTATCTAGAAAAAATATTTATCTAGAAATGCATAGAAAAATATTTATCTAGAAATGCATAGAAAAAATATTTATCTAGAAATGCATATTTATCTAGAAAATAGAAAAATATTTATCTAGAAATGCATAGAGAAAATATTTATCTAGAAATGCATAGAGAAAAATATTTATCTAGAAATGCATAGAGAAAAATATTTATCTAAATGCATAGAGAAAAAATATTTATCTAGAAATGCATAGAGAAAATATTTATCTAGAAATGCATAGAGAAAAATATTTATTCAGAAATGCATAGAAAAATAGAAATGCATAATTATTAAAAAAATTTTATCTAGAAATGCATAGAAAAAATATTTTTACTTAAATTTTTAAATGTATTGAATTTAAAAAAAATTTAATCATAACATCAGTCTACTTGTTATTGCAATTAATATTTACAGGATTTCTTGTATTTCTCTTACATTTTACTGAGGTTTGTTTGTATGTTATTGTAAAATGCTCTTCTATAATGGCAGGTAAGATCCTTATTATGTTGGTATTATGACAGGTTTTTCAAGCCTTATCAAGAGGTGTAAGTGAAACATTTAAAACAGATGTCCACTTTTACAGGTTGTAGCTGATGACAGTTGAAGATCACTTTTTCTTAGTATGGATGTTCAAATGGGCATAAAACTGCAAATACCTGTTATTCTGCTTTCACAATTGAGTACTTGGTAGATGATAATCAGCTTTTGTGCTTATACATGTTTGTGAAGGCATAATTACTAGAAGTGGTGATATGTGCATTTTATGTTGTAGCTTTGTGGAAGTTATATTTTGGAATACAGTTTACTATTTGTCCATAGCTGGATCCTAACAGGTGTTACCACTCCTGGTCAGGGTGGATCTGGGAACATCACCAATTGTGATTACATGCTCCTCAAAACCTCCAATCTCCCAATCAGAGGTCCTGCTGCCAGATGTATTTTATCATCATATTCAGGACTATTGAACCAGTCAAGAGATATCTTAAGTCATACTGACAATCTGTGAAAAGGGGAACATGATCTGATGTAATGGGGCTTCCATACATACTAAATTCATATCTTCTCATTAATAAGCAATCCATTAGAATTATAGTGGACAATTTTTTTTATTGACCTCTTAGTTCTCCTTTATTGAAACATATTATTTAATAACATTTCAGTTGGGTTAACTGCACAAAGAATAAAACTAGAATTTTGATATAGTTTTCATATTTTCAAAAATTTGTTTAAAATTTTAAAAAAATAAATCTTTATATTGAAAAAAAAAATTTGCTGTGAATATTTTTTAACAAATGATACTAAAACGTTACCAAAGCAATATTTTATTTCATTTTGCAGTCTTCAATTTTCCAGTTGAATACATAATTTTTGACTGTAGCATTTTTTTTCTTTAAAAATTAGTGATTTAAATTTTACATGTACTTATTTTAAATTTTATTAGATGGAATATTGTCAAATATTAGTCTAATAATAAAATTCTAGATAATATTGCTACTAAAATTACTGATGTATGTAATCAAATATAAAAATAGGCAGCATCAATCATTTGGGGGGCAAATAGTTATTTGGTTAGAGTTGTGCTTCAGCAGTATTTGTAGGTTAAGTTGTAAAGCAAATAATGTGAGCTATAAAAGGAAATTGGGAGATGAGTTAAAGATTTTACAAAAGCTTATCATTTATTTTCAATCCACACTATTTACTAATAACCATAGTGATGGTCTGATTTGTTGCAATAAAAAGTAAAGAAATAACTCAAAAGTTAATGATGTGCTGTGTGAAATAAATGGTTTCAGTAATGAGACATATTAAATATTATAACTGTTTCTGTTACTAATTTTCCATTTCTTTGTTTTGATTACTTCTAGGTGAGGCAGCTGCTGAAATTCTTCAAAAGGCTCAGGAAGCTCTTGATAAGTTCTCCAAAGACAAAGTAATTCTTTCTTAACAAACCAACATTTCTTCATTCTGCATGATTTTCATTTCTTTTTTTTTTTCCCATAAACAAGAATCACAATGTCAGCTATTTGACACATTTTGGATGCATTTAAAAAAAAAAAAAAAATTATTAAAAAGTAAATAATTTAAAACAAAAAAAACCCAAAAAAACAAAAAAACCATACATTTCTTTATCCTTTTGTAAAATATTCTACCTTTTTTTTTTTTTTTTTTTTTTTTTTTTTTTAGGTTTCTCTTGCTATTTTAAGATTTTTTTTTTCTCCACTCAAAAGATTATGCACATGGAAAGAGAGAAAAAAAGGTTTGAAGAAAAAATTGTCAGTTTTCAGTTGATATCTTTGCTCTTTAATTTTGTAAAATCTTCGTCACATTTTGAAATATAGGAGGGCCCAGAATCTGGTTCTTTAATTCTGATTCATACTACACACTTTATGGTTATGGGATGTAGAAATAAATTGAGTGTGGTGGTGGTGGTGGGGGAAACTTTAAAATTGTTCATATTACTTCCTCCCCTCTCACTTTCTCTCTCACTCACACACACACACTCTTTTGAAGTGTCAGCCTGACCAGTGTTGATATAGCTTGACTGACTTTAAATCCTACCACTGACTATTTGTACAGGTACAGATATGTTGTGTGACATCATATTTCATAAGACCAATAAAATTTTTAAATGATACATGATAATATACAAAAACATTTCATTTAGTAAATAAAAGAAATTAGTTTTTTTTTTTTTTTATGATAGACTGACTTTTGGGCTACCCTGTAGAAAAATAAAGTTCTAGTCTAGAATATTGTAGAGTAAATAATCTTTCTTTAAGTGTAAAGGAAAATTGATGTATACATTTTTTAAATTATACTGTTACAATTGATTGATTTTTAATTACAAAAACGGTTTTGAATGTTATTCAGATTTTTAGTAACATTCTTAAACTTTTGAACATTGTACAGAACTGTTTCAAATGACCACAATTAATAAAATCAAAACTGTAAATTATAAGTTTTAGACACTGAAGAGAAACAATGTGATATTTTTTTTTTTTTTTTTTTCGAGTATTTACAGTAAGCACTCAAATAAAAATTACTTTGTGTACATAATGCTACTGAAAATTTTTAACCCCTCATTTCTTTTTATTTGGTTTCATTTGTATTGTTATTTTTTATACAATTTATAACTTATTGTCTATAACTGTAGTTCTGGTTGTATACCTACAATGTATTTGATTTTGGTTGTTAATGTTGAATTTGATTTTTGGTCATTTGATATTTTTTCTGTGATGTGTCTCAAGCATGGAAATAGGATTGTTTGAAAATAGCTTTCTTCAAGTATATATGAATTTTATAAAATAACTAACCAAATGCTAAAAAAAAGTATCCAATTTTAAGACTTAACCTGCAGCCTGACTGGCTTTGAATCCTGCCACTGACTAATTGCATATCTTAAACAGGTTGTTTAGAAAAATATTCTGTTTCCATGCATTTTGACTTCAATCTAAAAGATTTTTAAAAACTATTTCTCAGAAATTCTTTCATGACATGGCATTTGAGCATTGACACAATTTAATTTTTTTTTTTTCTATCTTTTTCTCTTTCATTTTTAAATAAAAAAAATTTTTTTCTCCAAAAGGTGTATTTTAATTCAAAAAATATTTTTCTCATTAATTTTCAAAATAGGTTGTGAAAATAATCTCAGTAACAAAACAATTTTTTTTTAATCATACCCCTGCCACCCAAGTATTCTAGTTCCATTTACTCAAAATAGTTATAAAGATCAGGAGGTTAAATATTTATTTAAAAAGGAACATTGAAAATTTCACCGAAAGTTATAACTGAGGTAGTTTTAATGACATGAATTCTCTTAACTTCCAGTTATTTAATTCTACTTTAGTTATAATTTTAATTTGAATGTCCTTAAGAAAATCTAGTTCAATTTAATTCTGATATTTTCTTAGCCTTTTCATTTTCCAACCAAATGCAGTCTTTTTATCTGTTTATTTTCATTTTTTTTTATTGTCATGCCTTGGAGAGTGACAGCTTCTTGTTTCAAGTAATTCAGACCATAATCTTTAAATTGACTGAAAACAAATATAAAAAAAAAAAAATACGTTAAAAAAAACCCAACTTGCTTGGAAAAGGATATTTGTTTCCTTACCATGAAATCATGTGACTGATTGCTGTCAGTATTAACTGGCATATTTTTATTTATTGAATTTTTTTTTTTTTTTTTTTTTTTAATAAAATTTACCAGTATTTTACTTATTTGTCTTTCATTTCCTTGGCCAAAATTATTGATTTTTTTTTTTTTTTTTTTTTTTTTTTTTTAAATTAGAAATATTTGCAGTATGAGCTAAGGTAAAAATCATTATTTCTTTGCAATGAAATAAATGTCTATATTTTGGTTATATACGAACTGATATACTTAAATTTTATTTGTTTAATCTAGGAATAAATCTTTAAATACTGTATTTTTGTATAGTAAATGTAAATTGATCATTAATTGAGTTTTTATTTTTTTTATTGCAATTTTTTTTCTTTTTAATCTCACAACCATTAAGTAAGCATGGATTGATTAGAAATTGAAGCTTATTCTTTAATTCTGATCCATATTGCATACTTTATGGTTATTGGATGTAAAGATAAATCAGGAGGTCTTAGTAAAAAATAATCAATGTAATTTTTAAAATTGTTCATATTACTTCCTTACACACACTTTATATCTGAATATTTAGGTGGATATTGTCAATGTATGTAATAAATATTTTCTTTCATGCTCTTAATTCATTCAACCTGTTTCTATTAAGAGTCAACCGTAGTTGGGATTGAGTCACTAATGTGAACAATCCTTTCCTTTTAGCTGCATAGTATCTGTTACACCAGGGCTGCATACAGTTTTGAATTTAGAGTTTTCCTTCTCTTAAACAGGTTGCCATCCAAGGCTATAGAACCCAGTCTGTCATGCTATTTACCCATCAATGTAGGGTTTGGATGTTTTTCTTTCTTTGCATTTAACTTCTTCATTCTAACATAAATTTTTCTCTTACCATAATTTTACATATAGTAGATCTATTTGGAGTGGACACACAGTGGAGTAATGGATAGTGGCTCGGGTTGAGGAATCGGAGTTTGAATTCCATTCGAATCCATTATATTTACTAACTTGCTAATATGAACCCTCTTCTCCCTCCCCCACCCCAGGATAAATAGCAGGACAGACTGGGTTCTATAGCCTTGGATGGCAACTGGTCTACCGCAGAAAGAAATGGCAATCTACTGTGGGGGGAAAAAATCTACCTCGTCATTCATGTATCTTTCGATACATGATCGCCTAAGCATGTATCACGCATGGCACATAACTGAACTGAGGTCTATTTTATCGATGTAAAAAGTCATTTATCTTAATTGGTTAATTAATTTTTAAAAATTTAAATGACTTCAATTGTTCTGATTAATATTATGGATTTCTTGATGCATTGGACATCAGGTGTGAATAGTTGACACCTGCCTACCAAAGCAAATCTTTAGTCTCAACTTGAACAAGGAAATCTGAAGAGATTCATGGATGTTCTAAAACAAAACATGAAGAAATATAACATTGACATCAACGCCTGGTGCAACGGACAGGAATCTCTGGAGATACAATGTCCGAGACAGAATAACAATCTTTGAATACAAATAATTAGACGAACTAGAGGGGGGGGTATCTAAAAGAAAGAACAACCAAGGCTTAATCTACCATCCTGTACTCGGTCAAATACCTTTTCAAGAAAAAAAAAAAAATCACTCATTGACCATCTGAAAGTCCACAAACCCAAGTGATTGAGGCAAACAGAACAAGATCAACATTTTTGACCTTGAGGTATAGCCATGATGATGGATTACTATGAACCTGTTGAATTTTAGATAGAATACTCCATCTAGTGAACAGTTAAGTGAGTTAATAACCCTTGACACAGTAGGGATAACCGAGATAGATTAAAGCTCTTGCCACAGTAGATAGCAGTCCAATCCAGAGAAGTTAGAGCAACACATGCTGCAACCAACATCCAGACTCACATTGGGAACAAAGGTATTCATAAATAGTAGTTGACCTCCTCACCTCACCTTAACTCAAAAGGTAAATAATCTTGAGTACAAACCTCATTGACTGTAAGTACCATGTTGTGTTATATTGTTGCATTTAATAAAAATGGTAAACATATTTTGGCATACTTCTTTGCATTTCTTTTTAGTAACTCATATTTATTCTTTTTGTGAGCAGTTACAAAATAGCGACCCAAGAAACTCATGATGAGAATCTGCAATTTAATTTAAACAATATTTTTTTCTTCCTTACTTAATGTGTATGCTATTAGATTCATTGATTGTTTAATTCCCGTACCAAGAATTGAACCCTTACCCACCACAAAACTGAGTAAACATTTTTATTATTTTATTTATTTATTTTTTTTTTTCATTTTAATTTATTTATGATCACTGCTATAGATCTTTTGTTTTGACTGATGTGAGTTGAAATTTATTGGGAAAGTTATTTAACAACTAGAAAGACCCATGAAAATTTCACGGTTTTCCTATTTGAATTTTCTGATGACACTTAATAATTAAGTTAATTGCTTGAATAAACTCTTTGCGAGTTCTATGACTATAAAATACAAGTTGGGGGGGGGACTGTCCTATTACATCATTAAATATTTGATCTTAATAACTTTAACCAAATATTACAATGATAATCATAAATATGACTGCAGGTCATTATTTAAAGAAGTGTTGCAGAATGTAATGGCCAGAGTGACTCATGGGCGTGGTATTCTGACAGTGATGAATTGCCTTTGGGTTTTGGATATAAGTCCAAAAAAGCATGAATTTAAGATGTCCGCAAGAATTTTGAAGCATTGATACACTTGGTGCACCCAGGTTTGAGAGACCACACACACAGGGATGCTGAGCCCACATGCGACATGTGTTACCATGGCTACCTCTTCGAATCCA